CATCACAAAAGAGTTAAGCATGATAACATTTGCCTGCTACAATGAGTTGAACTGTAATTCTCCGAACCTTCCTAACCATCAAATTCCCAAAATCAGGGAGAAAAAAAAACATTTTTACATGTTTGTGCTACACATGGAAAATAAAAACATGATTGTAAGAATGAAATAGACATTTAATGGTAATTTATTACCACTTTTGGTAAAACTGCAACTTGCAGTTCTGGAAGTCTCACAATATTATAGCAAATAATAACAATAATCCACACAAGGGAGGGTATCTATCTCAGAAAACAGAGCATTGTAAAATCTGCTTAAATTTATAAAGAGTTGCAAATTCAAACTATAAATTGTTATAAAATGTATGTGTTTATCAAAATTTACTTATTAAGGTGACATTTACTAGCGAGTTCTTTTCCATAAAACATCATTTATTATTCTTTAAAATAAAATCTTTGAATTTTTAATGTCATGTCAAAATTACCTAATTCTGAAAAAATTAATATATACTGAATAGTTTTATCATAATTTGAAAGCAAAATATATATCAAAGTGGAGATATTATTTCATATGGCTAAGCTAGCCTTATGCATTAAAAAATAATGTGAAGTCTGACATGAAATGAAAATACATTCCAGAGATCTCATTAGTTAACACAATTATTAAACATTATTAAAAATTAGAAGTTACATTCAATTATTAAAAAAACTGCATGACAATAATTAGCAAAATGATTACCATTTAATATAATGATGAATTTTGAAGGTAATTTATCTTAATTGCACCCAACAAAGATTTACACAAAGATACTTGATTTTTTTTTAAGTAGGATAGAACAGAAATCTAGTCATATGATTAAGGTTAAAAGGACTTTATGTGAAAAATGGAAAATGTGCTTTATTTACTGTTTGCAATTAGTAAATAAAACTACATCCTTTTTTAGCAAAATATCGTTTATTTTATTAAATTAACAGCGATATATTCAAGCAAGTGCCTGCAGACACGATACAGACTGTAACAATGAACTAACTTTAATTCCTTATGTGCAATCAGCAACTGCCAAGCAAAAATGATACTGGTAAAATAAGTATGACAACACTGGAATTACCATAAATTAACCTGCACGTAGTTCAAAGAAGACAATCTAACATTCTGAGAGATGCATAGTTTCATTAATATAGTCAATATGACACTGCATTATTACACTGTGGTTAAATATTAGACAGCACTTTATCCACTAAATTCTCATAGAGAAAATAGTTAAGCTCTTAATAGTTATTCAATTCAATTTTTTTTTTTTTTTTTTAATACAGAGCTGAAAAAATAAGCATTGCAACAGATTTAGTTACCTAAAAGAGATTTACCAAATTCTGTTAACATGAAGGGCTTAATTTTACGATAAAAGATTTCCAAACATGAGACCACTAAATTATTATAACTTGCTTTCCTACTTTCTATATTTTATACGCACAATGTTATATAACCTTTATGAAACCAAAACTACAAGTAATTACTAGTAAGAAAATAATATTAGGAAATCTCGTTCTAAAACTGATGACATATTTAAAAGCACTGTCTACAAGAAAATATATGCAATAAATAGATGAAGATACTTGTAATAAGAGTATAACGCAAACAAAATGTAAGGGAAAAAAGAAGGAAAACACACTCATCTTAAACTGCCTTACGAAGTGTCACATTTTTTAATGTAAGCTCTAAATGTTAGAGCAGGAACAAACCCATCATTACAGAAAGACTAAAATTGGTACTAAATTATACTTCTGCACTTCTGCTAGCATTAGAATAGCCTCGAACTAAAGTCAAATTTCAAAGATTTTAGCTATCAGCTTTAGTATACACTTGCTACAATTTACAGAGCTGTGCTATCTGCATAAAAAAACATCTTGATTTCTCATTTATTTCTACTTAACAGTAGCTTCATAAAATAAGCACTAGCCAAACTTTTTCTTTTCAGCAAATTTACTCGCAGACATATGTGCAAAAATAGCGTCAATAATTTATGATTATTAATTAGGATTAATATCTCTCAGAATCTTTCAAGTGGCACATTTTCTACTTATTTCATCACATTAGGGTTCATGTTTGAGACCACACACAAAAAAAAAAAAAAAAAACTGCCAGACTATCTGGCATAAAATCATTGACTTACCTACCAAATTAAAACAGTACATTGCTTATCAATGTAATAAAATAAGACAGACATACAATAGGTACTTCTTTATGTTCTTTAACAAACTCTCTGGCATTACTGAGGTTATGTAACAATATTAATAAAAGATGTTTTTAATGTACTACATTCTTCTGCCATAAATTTATATCATTTTCCTATGAGTACACTATCACTTATCTTCAAAATTAAAGTTAGGGCAGATGTTCCATCATGACAAAACAATCAAGTACTATCTGCCAAAGAAATAGTGGCTTTGCATAAACAAATTGAGTTTTATTAACATCACAAAAGAGGAAAACATGGAACTAAACAGTTCAGTTGCTGAAGATAAAGGCTAAGAAAAAGTGCCAGTGTTTCATAGCTGCAGCCATTTGATTATCAACAGGCAATAAAAATAACACCAGGGTGCAGATACTCTGGAAGATGGGGATTGCACCCCCCCCCCCAGATACAGGCTTTCAAAATTAAAATTAATTTTTTGTTGAACCTGTAATCAAGATCTTTTCAGTGTGAAAACTGGTCCTATTTAAGTAAAAACTTTTGTGAAAACTGGTCTTATTTAAGTAAAAAAATAGAAAATTTGAAACAGCTTGGTTAAGCTGTACTTAAAAAAGTATGCTTAAAAATGTTGCGTACTTAAAAAATGTATTTTTTTACATCAATTATACAACTAAAACTTTCACCATAAAAATATTTCATTCTAAAAATGTTTTTGAGTTCTATAGGAATCAATGTGAATGTACTCTTTTCTCTTTAATTTCATTGTACTGGAAAATTTTCCTGAATCAAGATAAATTCAAGTTTTTTGCAGCAGTCCAAATGTGATTTTATGTTTTTGCAATCTTCCTCGATTTCCCTTTAAACTTCTACTACAGCAGATTTAAAAAAATAAAATAAATAAATAAAAAAATTTGGTAGCTTTTATACATAAGCTTAAACAATCATCACACATAAAATGATAATTAAATGCAATATAAGAAACGATCAAGCTATACTTTCCTGCTACATGATTAAGAAGTACATGCCAAGTTCACAAAATGCAAGAAAAAAAATAATAAACAGGTTCAAAACTTTATTAATATATTAAAATCATTGCAATAAATTATAAAAGTCTTTTTGTATGCTCATTAATACCCTTTTACAGGCCATTTGTGACACAAAAAATAAAAGACAGCAGCCTAAAAATATTTTATTTTATTACTATGCTAAATATACTAGAAAAAACACGTTTTTAATGAAATAATCTGTAATTTTCCTTTAATTTTGTTTTAACGTGAACAAATAATCAAAAATAATTTTTTGAAAAATGTCTCCATTCAAAATTCTATGAGGAATTTCATGATCAAATTTTTGAAATTTATCTGTTTTATTGATATGGTAGCTTTTGCACTAAAAGCCCAACTATCTGGCATTTATCTAAATGGAACACTCAAGTAACTGGGATATTTTAAAATTTTTAAACTCCCCTCTCTTGTAAAAGTAATAAGCATGCAGAGGTCACTGTCAACAAACAGTGTGATTTAGGACCATTGAGGGACAAGTGTAAGGTCACAACACAATCACAAGAGCTTCACCATGATTTTATGTAAATTTGCTTAGTTCCTGATAAGCTGGTTTACTTTTTGTAAAGAATACTGAAGTTAACTGCTACTTATCTGAGTTTTTTCCCCCATATATTTTGAAAAAATTATTAAAATTTGAGACCTTTCTTCTACGGAGCAGCATGCAGTGCAGTATTATCAAAGTTTTGGAATCATCGTCAAGAAAACTGCGAGTGTGCGATTTTATTTGAAAATAGATAAACAATGCTGTTACAATGTGAAAATGTATGATAAAAGCATTTAAAATATTTTTTACCTGATATTTGTAACTAGAATCTGTTCATTATGTATATAATTAAAGACTAATCTGTTCCTTTAAACTTCTTATGGAATGACTGCCATTAGTTTAACCCTTTCCGGCACGCTACCTTTTAAAGTCGGAGTTTTGATCGAAAAAAAAGGTAGGCAGTCTAATTAGGCTTAGAGGAGTACACAAGTAAAATTTTGTGAAGATAGCACTTATCGTTTTAATTCTGTGGGGTGCCCAAAGTGGCACACTAATTGAATACAGCTTCGAAAAGAGTGCTGAAGCGAGCATTGTTGTCAATGAACTGACAATGAGATGCAGAGAAACAAAGAATACAGACCCTCAATTGTCTACATTATCGGTGAGCCCAGTCTGGGCACACCTAGGGTTCGCCATTTGATTTTAGGCACGATTTCAAGGTAAAAATTTAAAACTAATATAGAATAAGATTAGCATACAGCCAAAAAAGTAACAAAAGTTTCTTTTCAAGCAATTCCTTTCATACCCTAAAACAAATCTGGGCGATTTCTTTGAAAAATGAGGGTCTTAAAAAACTAAACATGGCTAAAATATATGGATAGTTTGTGTTGAGCTGCCATCTACTATAAATAAAGAAGGTTCACCTATAAATCCTTTTTCATTCAATTTTTCTGTGTGTACAGAAGAAAATTTTTAGGTGTGTCCAGGCCAGACACACTGTGCCGGAATGGGTTAATAACATCTCCGCAACTTTCATGGTTCAACGGGATTCCATTATCAGACAATATATTTTAGCATTCATATGTTCAAGGCTTATAAAGTATGTTGCTTTTATGTACAAAATGCAGTTTTTACCAGAAATCTTACCTAATTTTAAATGTAGGCTTTTGATATTGAAGCTGATACCAAAATAGGATGACATTTTATCATTCCAGATTGTGAACTTATTCTTCCATTCATTTGGCTTCCGGCATTTGACATTACCCGAGTTTTCTGGACAGTTGAGCTTTTATTGCATTTGCAAAATCCTTTTTTTTTTTTTTTTAATACATTAGAGTGTTTCCTTTGAGCTTTATTTCAAAATTTTAGGGTAAATCTGGCATAACAACATTTCAGACTACCATGCATTTCACATTTTCAGTAAAATGCCTACAAAAGAACAACAAAAAAAAAATGGCGCTGGGATGAAAATCATCACGTCACCAACTCTCTACTATTATTGAAAAGAATGAAATTACCTAAATTTATTCTCAAATTTCTTGCTCATCATTTGACAAAATTTCTGTTCTTAAATAAGCTTTTTATTCTTCAGTGAATTTTAGTACTTATGGAAATATGATTGCACAGGATATCTTAAGTATCACAACTCCACATGAAAAAAACTACATACACAAAATGTTTTGCATGAGATTTAAACCCAACACATTGGTGTAGTAACTGGCCTCTGCTAGCCACCACATCCATCAAAATAGAGCTAAATACATCTGAGGTTAGTTTAATCACCATAAAGAGGAAGGAAGTAAAACAGATATCTTCACTTCTTCAGTCACTGGATTTTTACTATTACAGGAACTTCTTGAGCAGCAAGAGAAAAAATCAGATATCAGTACCTCTGGCTCACTATAACACTGGGATATATTTTACAAAAGGAATGATATAAATTATTTTTCAATTTGAATGCCACACACAAATACCTAAATTCTGCATCAAAACGAGATTAATATACAGATTGGCACAGACACACCGTATGTTGTCAACCCCTGAATTGACTTGCATTTTCCATATAAATTATTCCACTTCCAAGCTGCTTTTACAACTTTCAATCTTAAACTTTTATTTCTAAATTATGTTCAGCGCTAGACAATGCTGATTCTTTTATTGTTTATGAATGCTACTAGCAATATCTTCAAAAATAACTAAGTTATCTGAACCATCAACAATCCTCATACAATAAATGACTATTTTTCCTGAATAAAAAACAAATTTCACTCAATGTTTTACATTAATATTTAGAAGATATACAAACAATATGGAAGATAAACAAATCACTACCTTTTAAGCATCACACAATAAAAAATTTAGCTTAGAAACAAAAGCTTGGAATTTATCTTACTAGTTAATTTTATATTAATCTGCATATAATGTGCATGTATGTACGTATACACATACACACACATATATATACTGATAGGAAACTTTCATATGATGGAAACAAAATTTCATTTATAAAAGTTTACACAATGTAGATGAAAGGTTTTTAACATTTTATACCTATCTGCTTTTAAAATTCTATCAGAAGTTAAGAATTTAATAACTTATTAATATCACATATTCTTAACTTGCATTTTTCTCAGCCAGAAAGTAAAATATTATGAGATTTTTCAAGAAACTAAATGTCTATATAAGCAACAGTATAAGGAAGTTCATTTTTTTAAATAAACTCAAACAATAAGGCAGAATGGTGACATGAAAATAACGTATGTATATACATATACATATACTAGAAGCATATCATAACGGTTTCCTTCTAGTTTTAGACTTGCTAGTTCGTGGCAAAGTTGCATATCCAGATACCTAAAAATTAAAATTGTTATACTGAATAACAATAGAAACAAATTAAAATTTACTACATATAAATAACAAATAAATTTCAATCATATTCTCATTCAGCTCACCAAAATTATATATCGAGCTTGCTACAAACACTAATAAGTAAAATAGATCATGTTTCAATGCACTCAGAGAAGCAGTGTAAGCCACCAATTTCAGTCCCATTTAAGATATCTTCACCAATGCACATCATGAAGAAATTCCTTACCAAACACATAAAATAACTTATAAAAAAACAATGACATTAAGAAAGATTTCAACAACTCACACTAAAAGAGCATTTTCATATTGATGGAGTAATTATAGATCTAGCTCCTGTTTCAAACAGAAATCATTACACAGATAGAAGTGAGTAGAGCATGCAAATTTTATCATTTGTCATATAGGTATAGTCCAGCCATACTAACTCCACTACTCTATCCCAATTTTGATGAAGAACACACAAAAGATGGATTCGAGGGTCTTCCCCCTTTTTCCCTAACACACCAATCAACGGGACTTTCAGCTCACATGTAGTTTGAGTATCCTCATGCCATACAGATATTTTATACTTACAAACATACATGCCTCATCCAGGATTCAAACCCAGGCCTAATGAGACAACAGCCAGCACGTCTAACCACTATACCGATCAGAGTGGTGAGAGTTTTACACACAGTATGTTTTTTAAATCCTTTCATGCAATAGTTATCAGCTATGATGCAATTTTTATCATTTCTTTGCTAATAGTTAAGATTAGGGCAGAAATTCTATGATGGAGAAAAAAGGGCAAACTTTATGGAGTATACCAAATGTTTCACAATATAGGTTCTACACTAATCATTTAAAAGAAAAATTTTGGGCAAAAGTCATGCACTTACTGATTTCCAAAACAAGTATAAAATAATAAATAACATACGTAACAAGGAAATCATATAAAGTTAATAATATAAATATCTGGTACATAACTAAATCTTTTCATGTATAAATATATTTTAAAACAAACTGATGCTTAAAAACCAAATTCCAGCATCATTATCATCATTACACAAGAGAAAGATTTTACTTGGATCACATGGTATTTTGATTGCATATAGATTTTTCTTTCTTTACTTTAGAATCTGTAGCCTTGCCACTTCACAAAAGGAACGGTCAGCATCAACACTGTTTTCATGCATTGACTGATACAATGGAAATTTGAAGACGCTTTAGAAAACAAGTTTTCTACTTATTCTAGAAGTCTACCAAACATCTGCTAGAGCAGTTGCACCCAAAATCTTCACACTTAACTTCAGTTTCAGAGCAGTAGTAATTCATATTATGTTTTTTCACACAAATTCCAAATTCACATGAACATATATTTATATAGATAGAAAATGAACTTTTTGCATCACAAAATCTAGCAAAACTCTATAGGACATGGACCTAACCTAAAATTTTGAAAGTTTCAAAGTTTCAAACTAGATTTCAGAGTAAGATTATTTTGTGTTACATTTTCCTGAAAATTCTAATGAAGGCAGTATTAAAATTAGTTAAATATGAGAAAATATCAAAGAACCACTATATAAATTAGAATGTAATAAAAATATCAAAAATTGGTCAATTTATTTGATATCGAGAAAAAATTTTGACAACCAGAAATTCATAGAAAGTCTCCACAAAAATTATCATGGAAATTAATGCTGAGATAAAATTACTACTCTAATCATGGTTACCTGAAGCATTTTTAGTATTTAATATATAAACGTGCAGGAGTGCAGTTAATTCAATAACAGTAAATTTAAGAGAGATGTGATGCATAAGAACATAAGGCATGAAGCAGAAAAGATTCGTTTATATAACCATTAAACCTACAATGTTTTCAGAAATGATTTCCCTGCTTTTCTCTTCTCAATAAAGCACCATGAAAGCTGAATCTACTTACTCCTCAGAATTCCTCCAAGTAACTGCAAACTTGGTTCTACCACAAGCCTTTGATATGAAATGGAAATATTTTTCAATTTAATTAGTTCTCTTTTCTGATTTTAATACTTCAAAAACTTACAATAGTAAATTATTAGGAAAACAGAAAACACCACAGGATTAAGTAAATAAAATAATACACTAGTTAAAACACACAGAGCAAGCATGGCCAGACTGTGGCTTTAACCCATTAACTGCAGTTCAAAAGTAACATGCAGTTCTCTGACCCTTAAATGTGACTGGCTTGCAAAGAACAGCAGTTTTATTTTTGAAATGTAAATGCATTTTGGAATAGACATCATGCAGTGACACACTTATGTATCAATAAGTAATTTAATTCCTTTAACTATACTATCAGTAATAATTAAATCAATTTCAAACTGACCATCATGCACGAATCATCACAGAAACAAACAAAATGGCAAGCACGTGAGTTTCTGTGAATTACTGCTATGGTCATGTTATTTTCAAAGCAGCTAATGGCCAGAAAATCAGCATAAAAAGTCAAATGCACAGGTCATTTTAAAAATAAAGCACACTATTTTCCTTCTTACAGGTTTATTTTATCACAGGCAATTTTTATTACAGTTCTTTGAATTCCTCATGAATCTCAACAGCCACAATCTAGAAGATTTACTATTCCTCACCACAGTCCTTGAATGCCTACGGTAACAGCTGAAGGAACCTCTCTCAACCAGGAAACTACAGTTCATGCAGGTCAAATTAAGGAAGAATTTGAAGTGTGGTGGATTCCTATATCAAGTTTATTAATAGATGCGGTAAAACTTCCATGGGAAGTTCTAGAAAACTGTCCACAGATCTCCCACAGCATTTCCATATACAGGTGTGCATGAACATTCAAAATGTACGGCGCATCCCTAGGGAAGTCCCTGAGGTTTTTCTTTTTTTTTTGCATTTTTCTGCACAATTTTTGTAACTACTACAGAAATATGAAAATCTTGCTGCCCAGTAATATGTCTGTATAATATTTTTGCATTGGAATCTGTAAAAATATGTACAATATTTCTGCACTGAAAAAACTTAAGGACACAGAATCTTGAATTTATAAATCCTGAACAATTTTCAAATCTTTCATATCTCTCAGATTTTTTAATTAAATGTAGTAATAAGCGGAAAGACAATGGAAAAAAAATTAACTAAACTTTAAAATCTGCATTTAAATTAATCAGGTAAAAAATTTAAAGACACATTAAAAAAAACTACAGCTGTATTTATTAAAAAGATACACAAATTTTATAAATGAAGTACATAATTAAATTCTTGGATTTCTCATTTTAACACATTATTTCATAAACATAGTAAACAAACTTTCCTGAATATAGCAGGAGAAATCAAAATTACTTGCATTTGTATATAACCATATTAATCATATAAAATATAATTTATTTCAAACCATTTTTTGCTATGAAAACTTGTTTTGTTACTTTTAAAAAGAGTGTTGGCTCAATTTCTTGAATTCTAACATGTGGCTAGAATGATGTCATGAACATTTTCATGCAGCCATGAGGTTTGGCCGCCCATGATAGACAGTATCATAAAACTATGCATTCACTATATATAGGATTTTGATTACTCGGATTCTGATAATTTATAAGTTCAAATTTTCAATGCATCAAGCTTAATGTTGAAATACAGAATTCAAAATCAATGTTAACTGAAATTTTTATTAAATGAAATTTTTTTTCTTGGTTCGTTAAAAATTTGGTTATTGAATTTAACTATGTAGAGATATGTATATGAACTCATGCTGCACAAAAAAGGTGGTTATAGTTCGATCGCCTCATCCGAGACCATAAGCGCAAACACGCGCGCGCCATTCAGACCGAATTATTCTCAAAATAGGGTGGAAGGATAGGGACTTTCTTCCCCTCCAGCATAGCTCTTTTCGGAGAAGAGAAGACCTTTCACGTCGCAGCAAGGAATACCGACCCTTTTGGATGAGTCTATGTGTTTTGGCAGAATGCCAACCAGGGTTGTGCTTAAGATGGTTGAACCATACATGCTTAATTTTCTTAAATATTAAGGGTAAACATATTTCAAACTGCAAAAATTCTTTAAACAATGTACAGAATTTTATAAAACACTGAATTCTGAAATACAAAAATCTACCATTTTAGGGATTCTATTTAACACAGTAACTCATTTGCAGAAAACAAAGATGGAGATCAAAATAACCTTATAGATAACAGATCTAAAAAAAAATATAATAAATATACAAAGAAATCTTGAGTAAGAACACTACCACATTTTCCTTTTTACTTTGAATCCTGAAGCAAATTAATGAAGTGCAATGCAAACAAAATAGCTAATGAAGAAAATCACTACATTGTGAGCACAGACATTTAAAAGAGAACGAACGCCCATTAAAAATGAAGAAAGCTCTGGTTATTCCAATATGCCTGTCACCTATGAAAAGGTAACTCACAGATGTCATTATTTGGTACAGCAGACACATTTCTTCACAAGTTCTGGCCAAGGAATCGGTTATCAGTAACGGAAACACCCACAACATTGTTTAACCATTGCAAGTTATATGCACAATGAATGTTTATGCTGCTTATAGATCAACACAAGATGAAGCACATGAAGACTTCAACAGCTTTTTTGTCATATTATCATGCTGCAAAAGAAGACATTTTGGTGAGTATCACCACAAAGGAGGACAAAACATGGAAGCATCAATATGAGTTCTAAACCAAAAAGTTGTCTTTGAAATGGCAGTAAATATTTTCTTCCATTACAAAGAAATCCCACATCTCTGATCATGAAGACACATTAACTCTCTTCTAGGATATGAAAGTGTCAATTCAGAAGCATAATTCACAAAAATGTTGAAATGTGAATAGTATAATGCAATGTTTGGAGCAAAGGCATAAACCAACCATAACCACTGCACAGAATTGCTGTGAAAGTGATTTCCTCCTTCCCAATAACATGTCCCTCCAAACTAGCCATTGTAATTGTTGGCACCAGACAAAAATTGTAATCTGCAATCTCAAAGCACTCTACCCCGCTTCTCTGATTATAATGCAATAGAATTTCTTGCAGATGCTCTCAAACAATACCAATTTCAGAATAATACCAGAGTTAAAAAATGTGGTTATCTGCATGCTGGTCAATCATAAGTATTTTTAACAGAATTTTAAAAATGGCGAAATGGTATAATTATTGTAAATCTTGAGGAAGTAACACATATTTATCTTTTATATTACATTATTTATTTCATAATTTTCAAATGCCATTGGTTTTTGAATACCTTTACACCATCTGAATTTAAAAAAACACTGCAAGTAAATGCAACATTAAAATAAACATAAATATTAGAAAAAGCAACAGACAAGACGAAATATGTTTAAAACTTTACCTCTTCATATGAACTCTGCTTTAAAAGCACTTTAGCTTTGGTGGGCTGCACACCTCTAACAACTTTAACACTTCTAGTTCTCCTGGTGGACATGCCACTTTGAGAGCTAAAAAGGAAAAGGTTCAAAGACCTTTTTAAGTGCATTTTTGTTAATGCTGATGAATAATATGACTGTGCCATTTTGTACACATCATTATGCATTACATTATAAAGTCCAATATCCTGACATCCAATATCCAGAATAATCTAAAATCAGGACTTTCAAATCACCATGAATTTTTTTTTTTTTTTTTTTTTTTTTTTTTTTTTTACGCTTGTGCATTTCACATTTGTTCATAATAAACCATGTGGAGAATCCCAATTCTTAATTTCATTTTGGCACTGATGCCAACCCGTGGAATCATTCTTTACTCCTTTTTGTTTTTTGCCACATAACTATCAACACACAGCAGCAACATATAAATAATGTTTTTTTTTTTATTAGTGATTGAATACCAAAGAGCCTGTAACCTTTTATGCTAACATGACTTGGTTATGATTAGAGACTTCGACTAAATCTACTTTGAAGTGTATAGTCTGCTGGCAAGGAGAACTTTAACAGAAATTTCTTTCATATGCAGGAACTAGATTTTGTAAATGATATTCATAGACCAAAAGATTACACTTAGAGCTGTTTGTATTGAGAATAACTAATTTGTTATTCTGTTAAGCCAAGAACCGGTGCCAGAGCCCATGCGAGTGCATTGGTCAGCAGAAATCAAGGTAGGCAAAATTTTTAGAATTTAGAGAAGGACCAAGCAAAAAAATTAAGGAATAACACAATCTTTAAAATTTAGGGAGGTGCTTGCCAGCAGAATTTCAGACCTGTAAAGATTGCACTGGAATACAAAATGTCTAGCATCAGCCCTGGATAAGCTTTAAATATATGTGGAAATTTATTTATTTGGGACTCTCATAAAATCCTTAAGCATGTGCAAGAAATAGCCGTTAAATATAAGAAATAACTGAACTAATATAATTCGAGGTTAACTTCATCAGCGCACAATAGAAGCAAGAGAAAATTTAGCAGAACAATATATATTTTACTAGCCAATCTGATAATGCAGCGCCAACAGCATATAATAGATGCTAGCTAAGCTTTATGACGATAACCTCAGATTTGAAGGTTTTCAGATATCACAAACAAAACGAAAAAATTTTCTAATTAATGAAATATGTGGAGAAATATAAAATGATAAAAAAGTGATGATCATTTAACAATATTGAATACATTCAATTAATGGAAGGCAAAATATGTACTATGGTTCCAAATCCAGAAAATATTGCTACTGACAGTAAAGAAAGCAGCAAAGATTGTTCAGAAAAAATTTTAATTCACAATTTAGTATGAATTTTCAATGTGATAATTACAGGTATCTAATAATGGAACTTTGTAACTAAACAAGAAATTATGTCTATCTATAGAATTAAAGAGGGAAGCTCGGTGGCGCAGTGGCTAGGGCATTGCACAGCAGCACCACAGGTCCGGGGGTTCGAACCCCAGGCTGGGCAAGGTCGAATCAGACTTTCATCCCTTGGGTTGATAAAATGAGTACCAAGTTCGCTTGGGGATTAAACACTGGAGGCCCTGCGACAAGCTGACAACTTGTTCAGGGCATATGCTTTTGCACCCTAGGGCCCACGGTCAAGAAAGCAGATTTCGGGGCACTGCAGGCCTTGGCCCATTAGAGCTGTTTGCGCCACTGAGTTTAGTTCCCGCCCCTTTTTTTTTTTAGAATTAAAGAGGAAGTATTAGCACAAAAAAATGAAGTAAATTAAGCAATTTACTAAAACAAATGTTTAATAAAGCAAAGAAAGAGATAATAAGCTTTTTTGCCGCCTCTACATGTCACCTTACTAAATTTAAACTGATGCTATAATATCCAGAAACATTCCAATCCAGAATCACTGAAATCCTAATGAGTCTGGATCTTGGACATTGTACAGCATTTAAGTTTCAATTTCACTGTTTCTTGATGCATAATTTAGATATTTAACATTCTTAAATATGATGCAAATTTCTTGCAGATAATTATACAATAAATAAGAATTAAAATGAGACTAACCTTACTGGTTGCCCTCGCCCTTTAGATAACTTTTCATCTTCAGACAAAACACCTTCAGAAACCCAACGATGTCTCAATGGCTTATGATTTTCATCAGACCCACTGTCAGTTTCATCTGGATGAACACAATAAAATGTAATACTCAATCCATTTTATAAATCTGATAAATTTTATAAATCCATTTTATAAATACTGTACTTAGAATTTCCCTCATCATCATTAAATCAAAACTGCATTAAAAACGACCTGTTACCTATTATAACAGTTAAATAAAGTAATTTATATATATATGACAGAAAAATCTGAAATCATAATGTTGAAATAATGCCTTACTAATTTCCTCTCTTGACGATCAAGATGGGAAAATTATAGCTGCTGCTCTCAAAAGTATTCTTTTTAGTCAATATTGCTTACTAGCCATCAGCCAAGACACATAAAAAATGCATTTGTATATGATACCTACACTTTTACTCTTTTTCACAGCTGTACAGTAATAGTGTTGGCAAGTATCCATGAATGATTATACTTAGAAGAGTGATTATGCTTAAATGAATTAAAATACACACTGGTAACAGAAGGAATGAACTATTGACCAACTTGCTAATGCTCATATCTTCTACTCTCAGCCACTTCTCATAAGTTCAGCATCTGCGGTTAAAAAAAAAAAAAAAAAAAAAAAAAAAAATGGAATAGTGCATACGATACAAACAAGATTAGAGGAGTCCTGAATGAGTATTTCCTAAAGATCACCATTCAGTTTAAATCTGTAAATAGTCATTCGATTCAATTACACAAACAATGCTGAGACACCCTGTCATATCTATACCGATTTGGGCATACAGAAAACAAGTCAGTGCATATGACTCAATTACACAATTCATTTGATTCAATTACACAAACAGTGCTGAGACACTCTATCATATCTATACAGATCTGGACATACAGAAAACAAGTCAGTGCATATGTGATTAGAGGGCATAATCTCATATTATCCCTATGAGTGCATGTTGACAAAAGACAGTTCATATGCTTAAGTGATGCAAATATTAACAGGAGAGATATTCTACTGAAATTAGGAGAGGAGTTAAGAGTGGTATATATGACTTCAAAACTCCCAAAGATCCTTCTTGAGTCTTCAGAAAAAACACATGAAAAGAAAATGGATATAAAGAGAAAAAAGTGCCAAGTACAGAGATGCAATGGAAACAAATCTCAAGAATATTGCGCATCTTGTTCCAAAGTTACGTGCAAAAAATGCACTGGAAAAACAGTTAAAAATTATTTTTGTATCAACTGCATTAATTCTTAACACATATGTGTAATTTCTAATATTTTAAACATTAAATAGAATAGAAACAAAATGCTTTACATATAATGATATCCATTCAGCTACACATATAATGATATAACTAAAACATCAGAGAACATTTCTCATTTCTGGATTTAGAGAGCGAATCATCCTCCAAGTACATAAAAAAATATTATTACATCTTTTGTCTTTTATTTTAGTTAACATTAGTTTTAATTTTTGAAACCATTTATTTAAAATCAATTCTTATATCAAATTAATGATTTATTTGAGTAATTGTAGTATGATCCAATTGATCGCCATGTACTTAATATATTTACAATATTTTAAAAAGTCAATAAATTATCATGTGATATTAAATATAAATCATTAAATACATATAAAGTACATACTTGTGCCAATGTATGGCATTTAAAATTCTTTTACCATTGTTATTTCAGTACTTTCATCCAAGGGTCAAAATGACCCCTTACCGCCATTTCAGTTGGTAAGATTTTCCCGCCGTTCTAGTGTTAAACACTTCCAAACACATAATCATCTAATAAAGAGCAGCTACTACAGTCATTTAGAAATATGGATTCTGCATCAATTGGTAGAAGGCACTCTCCTTGCTTGCATGTGTAATTTACTCTTCAGAGAAATGACAGAATAGTTTTTGAACAGGTAAGTTATTAGGGATGAAACTTGAATCCTCTAAGATAATGCAAACTGAAACGCTTTGGCCTAATTATAATGCCAATGATTATAAATTTCGGAGTGCCTATGGTTCAAAACCATGTACCTCCACATCAGAAAAATATCTAAGTACTGAGCAGAAATTGGGAAAATGCATGAATAGTTATCATGATGCACACTAGAGGGAGCCACATTAGCTCAAGAAAGTTTAGGGATAAGAAAAACTAATCATAATAAGCCTTTAATAGTATCAAGGCCAAATCTTCAACTGACGAATGTTTTGATGTTAATTTGGCAGGATAGGAAAAGCACCATTTTTATCATGCTGTTTCCACAAGGTGAAACAATTAATTTAACTAAATACTGTTGTTTTCAAATGAAAAAAACCAAAAGAAACAATTATTAAAATATAGCCAGCATTAATGAAGAGATGAGACATAATTTATGAGCATGATAATGTAAGTCACTTGTTAATAGCTTATTGTGTTCTATCTCATCCTCCCTTCTATCCAAACTCTGTACCATCCGATATTTAATTAAAATATTCTCTTTGCAATAAAACATATTAATTCAATGATATAAAAATGTACTTGAAATGATATTTTGATAGGAAACTACAAAAATTTATAAAGGTGGCATACTACAGCTTCCAAAGGAGTGGAGAAAGAGATCAGAGCAGACTGCATTGTTAAATAAACCAATAAAGACATGCATATGGTGTATGCTTTTTACTTATAACTAAACAATTTAAACTTCTAGGACAACTTAGTAACTTACCTATAATAGTCCTCAGCATTATATAGCATACTTATAGGACCACAGTTACTTATCTACATATTGCATTTATCAACCATATATCTGTGGCAGCTACAATGAAACTAGAAATGCTAAACACTGCCAACTGGCACTGCTAACTTTTTAAAGATATAAAGAAAGATTTTTATCATAAATAGAACTTTTAACATGGAATGGATCTTACCAAATTTTGACAAGGCAAGAAGAGTTATGAAGAAAGATTATAAATTATATCAATAATAATTGATAAACAATGGAAATTCTACTTTAATGTATGTGCTGTGTAAACATGCATTTGTACATATAATATTCACTGAATATTCACTGAGCATGTCAAAGCTTTGAAAACATTAAAAGTATTTGCTGAACAAAGCTTTGAAAACATTAAAAGTATTTGCTGAACAAAGTGGGGACTTTTTCTGGGACACTAAGAACAACATACACCTCCCTAATTAGACCAGTCACGGAGTCCGCTTCTAGGACTGTCTTGGGAAAATTAGAAAGTATCCAGGCAAAGGCTGGAAGTCATCACCACTGTAGTGTCTTCCAATAATTTAAAAGTAATTCAAGAATATGGCCTTGAAAGCCTCAGAAAAAGAAGACAGTATGATATAATAAAATTTACAAACAAGGTAAGGAGCCATACACCAGAACACATTGCTAAGAAAACCTCTAAAAACTACAATGGCAGCATTAGACTGAAAAGGTCATCTCCTACGCAATTTAACAAAGATATTACAGCAGTTTTTGGCCTTGAACACAACAAATTTTCCATCTTCCAACAGCCAAAATGTCCTTCCAGGCTTCCTATGAACTCTATAATAGTACTCAACCTACTAGAGCTATGCAATATAATGGATTGATATTATAGTGGCCCAATTATTGCATGAGAAATAATTCTTTTTAATTTCAAGTACTTTATATTTTTTCACGTGTTTAATGATTTCATTAACGCTTTGTTAATATTTATATTTCTTTTATGCTGAATGGCAACAAGTAATTATCCATATTTATATTTATTTTATGCTGAATGGCAACGAGGAATGTATAAAACTGATTAATATGAAAACTCAAACAATATGAAAATTCATCTTGGAAACCAATAGCATGTTTATCTAAAAAATTAAACAATACTTACCAAAAATATAGCACCTATGATAAAGAACTGTTAAACATATATCTTTCAGTTAGACACTTCAAACATTATCTAAAAGGAAGAGTATTTACAATTTATACAGATTTTTTTCTCTGCTCCTAATTATAATTTAGATTAAACCATCATTAAAGTGAAAGGGATCAAAACCATCAAACAGTATCCAAGTGATGACCTTGTACATGCTTATACAGATGATTCACTTGATGAGACAATCACTAATGGAGATCCTGGGTATTTCTGATGACCCCAAATGATACTACTTAATCAACACAAAATTGGCACTAGAGCCACAGTCTCCAACTTCACTTACGAGCTTCTGGCAATAGCAGAAGGCAATCCTGGATGGAAGCTATCTGATCACCAATGGGAACCACTTTCCTCAAATTAGCTTCAAAAGTTAGATAAGGTCTGTGTTCTTCAATGGTTGCCAGCACATCAATATTACAGGTAACAAGAATGCAGATAAACTGGGAAAAGAGGCTCAAAATCTCAACAATAATAATAACATACACGACACCCTCTCAGACACAAATGCCATAGTGAAATATAGATTGAAGGAACTTTCACTTCGAATAAACAACAGTTCCATAACATAAGTGAAGATTGACTTATAACTAAAAACATTGTCAGACTTAGAATACAGGAACTGTATGTGATAACTGCTCAGACACAGAACTGACATTGCACATGTATTTGACCGTCCAGCCATACTTCCTGAATGTTAGAAATTGGAATCTTATTTAAGAGACCGAACCCCTATGATGATAACATTTTGCAGATTGCCAGGGCTGTCATCTTCGCCAATGGCACTATTTGTATTGGTTTTACCACAAACACTACAACAACCACCCTGCAACTAGGACATCTTAATTAAGCAACAGAGCCACTTGTAGTCAGGTGGGTAAGCTACTGTCCACAAACAAATTGTGTTGAATGTTTTTCTCAGTAAAATGCTAAAATTAATACTACCTTAGGCTTTTATATCATTGAATAGTGGCATTAGGTCAAGGTAAAGAAATAAGGATTATCACTTCCTACTTTAATTGCATTATACTGAATAAAATGATATATTTAAATTGCATAATAATTATATAAGATAGTGAACGAAAGTCACTTTCAAAGGAAAAATCAAATTACAGTGTTAAAAGAATAACATGACTAATAACAATACTAATAAAAATTTCTTTCAGCAAAAATTAGTAATGCAAATTCCTTGTTGTGACACAGTCTATACAAGTATCTTAATCCCTTATATTCTACTTTTCTGATTTCCAAAGACCAAATAAAAGTGGAAAAATTCACTAACTGTGCGATATTTTACATATGTTGATTCTAATTGCATTATTTATTTATATATCCTCTTTCCTTCCTGTTTGGATTCTGATAAAGGTCTTATATAAATTATGATACTTTCTGAGTCTGAAATATGTGGACTATTATCATCTTTCTTTAACAAAGATTTTGTGAGAACTGCAGCAAGAAACAAAGAACTAGCAGTAAATTTTGTACCTTTTATCACTGTTACATCATTAGGCTACACCTACACTTCTCAGCCCTCTAGAGGCATTTTTGTAGATACTTAAGAAGAATAAAATTATTCATTAGCAGAATACAGTCCATAAAGAGTGGTCCATCTCGATGAAGATCTGTGCCCATTTAAAGCAGGAAAAGTACAACGGATAAATTAACGCAACTAAACCGTGAAAGAGGCGTAATAAAAAGCAAAATTACAAAACTGGAGAAGTTTGTGAATAACTGGAGAACCAATAAACTGGAGAAGTTTGTGAATTCGAAGGAAGTTCTGTTGAATTAGAAGTAAAATTACAGAATGTCAAGGAACTAAAAGTTGGCATGTCTCACTTTTACAACGACTACTGCAGAGTTGATGAAAAGCTAGATATTGATGAAAGCTTAAAAAGTATGGAAGAGCTGGACTCATCACTGGATAGTGTTGAGGCAAGAATTAAAAAAAAACCTTCTCTCAATGATTAAATTAAATAACGCTTCAAAAGTTAATGACAGGGGTGTATCAGTTCATAATGAAAGTGAAACTTTCTGTAATGTAAAATTACCTGAAATTCCACTGCCTGTATTTACGGGAAATTATGAAGACTTTAGTGCTTTAAACAGCAATTTATTTCTTTAATTGGTGATAATAATAAACTGAGTGATTTACAAAAGCTCCATTATTTAAGAGCTGCCTTAAGAGGAGAAGCTTAACAAGTAGAAACAGATCAAAACAGTTATAATTTACTTCTTAAAACTCTTGAAGCCTGTTTTGAAAATAAAAGCGCAATTGATGATTCTCACATACAAAATATATTAAATCCTAGAAAAATCAACAATTAATTCTCCAGGGAACTACGCCATTTATTGGACAATATAAAACATAATTTGCACGCATTAAAGGTTTTGGAATTTGAGCAACGTAACTTATCTGATGCTATATTAATGAATATACTGCTTCAAAAAATCGATAAGGAAACGCATAAACAATTCGAGTTGACATTAAAAGTAAATGAAATAACCATTTTAGATGAATTCTTAAGCTTTCTGAAAAACAGAACTTTAGTATTAGAAAGTTTGTATAAAACAATCAGAAACTAGTACTGCATAAAAATATTATTCCGGGTCAAGGGAACATAAAAACCTAAGAGTTTAATTGTAAGTGCATCGAGAAAAAATATGAAACTCTGTATTCTCTATAATGCGGAACATTCTTTACAGATGATCTAAATTCCTTAATATGAGAGTAAAATTATTCATTAGCGGAATACAGTCCAATCATTTTACTGATTTAGTTTTATTTACCAATGTCCGATCATTTTACTGATTTAGTTTTATTTACCAATCTAAATTTCTCATTATTTTGCATCCCAACCCAGCTTACTTTATTTCAAAAAACTTTTCAGTATTCTGCTTTTTTAATCTAATATATAATGAAGTAAACAATAGGAAAAAGCTTCGGCAAATGATATGACCATGCATCCACAGATTTGTAACTGCTACCACCGCCAGATTTTGATAAAATACCATAATTTCCGGAAGAAAGGCCGCATCAGCGTAAACGCTGCACTCGAGAAAAAGGTGGGGAAAAAATTAAAATTACACAGAAACGCTGCATCAGCGTAAACGGCGCAATAGATTGAATTGCGCGTGACATCGTCGTGGGCCGTATAGATGCAAAAACTCAACCTAAGTCCTGATATATGACATACCATCTCCCTTCGGAATAGTCTTTCGTTTAAAAATGATCATCGGCTTTAGCCTGTCACCGTTTGCGGCACAAGCTAACACACATGTAAATGACGTTCTTTCATGCTCCGTCATAAACATAGATACAGTTTTTGCACCAGTTCTGTTTGCAGGAGAGTTGAAAGCTAACGGCGTTTCATCCATATTTATTATCTGCGACCGAAGAAGTTTTTTTTTTTTGTCAATAATAGCTGTCGCATATTTTAGAAAAGATGACTTTTTATCCTGCCAGTCCATTGGTAATTGTTGCCCAACTGTTGTTCTAGTACACACAGAAATATTTTTTTCTTTTCATAAATCTGCTACACCTCCTTTGAAATCATTTATGTTCATTCGTTTTGCTATAAATTTTGCTTGTAAGCGAATTTTTACAGTCGAAATTGCCATTCCCTTTCCTCGTTGCTCCTTTATCCAGTTTGCAAAGTCGTCCTCTAGATTTGGCCTCCTTACAGTACCACTTCTTTTGGCTCGTTTCTGTTGTGGCATATTTTTTAAGAAGTTCTTTTTCAGTTCTCCAATGTCGAATACATCTGTCGTCCACTTCAAACCTCGAGCTGCTGCTCGATTTCCAATTTGTTCAGCACGTGAAATTACATTAAGCTTAAAACCAGCAGTATAGCTTCTGTGCCATTTAGGGACATTTTCAAAAATTTTCCGCTCCCTTCTTACTTAAAAACTATTCAACAAGTACTTGTACCCAAACTGATGGGATCTGTATCTGGCAAAATGCCAAGAAAAATCCATTCATGCTGAAGGGGAAATACGTCAGAGTTCGTTATTGCGAGGCAGGTGGAGTCGTGTCCGCCTTTGAAAAAAATTGCAGAAAAAGCAGGGGTGGGGAAAGGATGGGTCCTGGAAGATTCATCGAATGGCAGAGGAGGGAGACTATTCCAACTGATGAGAATGTTGATTTGAAAGGGGGAAGAATGTTATTGTTCTGAGATCTCGTTTAGGGTGAATAAGGCATGTAGGTCCATTCAAGGGAAAGAATGTAAACAAAATAACGTTCGCAAAAAGCAACTGAGTGGTCTTTTGTGTGGGAACAGCACCAGTCTATGCACAATCACAAGGCCATCCAAACTATGTACAATGACCATCATAGGAAACATTTTATCTTTAGTGCACCTAAACGCCGCATGGGTAGAAACGCCACACCCGCTGAAAATTTAAGTTTTAAACACGTAAACGCTGCGGCGTTTCTTCCGGAAATTACGGTACTTAAACAGAAAAAATGCTGCAGGTTTTAACTATCGGATATGCATGTCTAACAAACATATTATAAAAAATAAGCACTTTTTGAAGCAACATTCATGTTGTATGCCTGTTAGCCAAAGGGTAAAGCCACACTCAATTTTAAAATCTTTCCATATGAATCATAGAAAATGGAAAGTTATATTAGAGCAGGAAATAAAGAAATAGCAAACAGCATTTGCAATACCTATCATGTTAGCAGCAGCTGAAGGACTAGTTGAAAAACGTTGTGAAGAACTGGCCGGATCTTCTATTAAATCACTCATGCTATAACTTTTACGCAAATGTTGAACTAATGTTTCTTGACCCTAGGCATTAAAGAAATTGCATTTACATTACATACAATATTATACTTTATAATTATTTTGTATATATGCTACAGTGAAAGACCGAAAACAGGGAAATGTTGATATTCTTCAGTGAATTTTAGCATTGACACAGTCGGTTGGAGAATGTCTGAAATATTTGCTAAATATTATTATTTCTTACTAATACCAAATGTTGATATTCAGCTTGCAATGATAATTGTATAAATTGCCGAAGTCCCGACGAGTCCGGATTGAAGACTTTTGACTGTATTTTTCTTATAAACATTGTTTTTGGTATGGTCACCGCGCAATCTTTCCTCAAAAGTATAAACAATTTATGTGAGCTGTTCTTCAATTTCAATATCTGCAATTTGCACACCAAACAAGGATGAAGTTGCTTTGTCTCATTTTAGTTTAAACTACTCGAGACTGTAATCACACAATTATCTCTTCCCGGCTCATGATATCATATATGTGACCAGCTTTTCAGAGTCTTGAGGCTTGCGATCACAAAAGTATATTTCAAATAGGAACATTTCATTTAGGTTTTTAAAAGACACTAGATGGCACTAGACTATCATATTTTTGAATAATGTTCTACAGTGCTCTGAATTTCAACATGGACTTTCAGTTCCGAATTTTTTTCCGGGGAGGGGGGGGCAACATGTAAATAACTACAAAGGGCTACATTTTACGGCAATGCATGCTCGATTTTTGTTTATATTTTAATGCAGACTTCAAAAAGACAATGTGTAGTATGCTAAAAAAAAAAAAAAAAAAAAAAAAAAGTTTCTTAAAAAAAAAAATGCAAGTTGGTTTAAGGAAGCAAAACTTGCAATGCAAGGTTTTGTCCCAATGTTTGAAATGTTTTGAATGTGTTGAAATGTATCATATGCTTCAAAAATTTTAAATATAGTTTAGTAATTTTCTGACATTTATCTTATATTTTGTTATATACAGTTTTCTAATATTTTATCTATATTCTAAATATTTGTATGCAAGCTTATAAAATTTTTGTCATTTTTATATATTATCAGAAAAAATGAACAGGCCAATTTTTATGTTTGCTAAAAACTTCTAATCTAGCCCAAGGTAGATAACCTAGATGCTAATAGAATTTTATAAATGTGAATAGTTTATTCATTTCATTATAGTTATAAAATATGTTTGGACATCACATAGATTTTCTAGTAAGCTGTTCAAATTTTTAAAGTGTCCATTTTTTTCTTGAGAGTGTATGTATATAATTTTTTATTAAATATGTATATAATTTTTTTATTAAAATAAACAAAAATTTCCTTTAATTATCTTTTTTTTTTTGTTTTTGTTTTGTTGTTGTTGTTGTTTAATATCATGAACATTTTATTACAGTATACTCGGATATCATCAATGATAATAAACTGTAAATTTCAGAATATTTATTTGCAATAATGGTTTTAAATAAATTTCTAAATGAAATTACACTTAATGGGAATAATTGCCCGATACAGTGTATATGTATACCTTCAGAACATGTGGGCTTTAGCACAATTAACTTCTCTTAATCATAAATTTTTAAAATGTCAAAATGTTCCAATCATCTGTAATCCAAAGGTGTACTGCACTTCTTGAGAAAAATAAAAGCAACTGTCTTGTTGTTTACCCGCAATTAATGCACGTAACATTTAAAAAATCACAATTCAAGCATTAGCCATTCAATACAAATTAGGATATTTAATAAAAAATTTAAATTAAGCAAACGTTGCAAATACCAGCAAATCTTGCACAAGATGGGCAAACAGTAGAGTATTCGAGAGTCTAACAAATAGGTGTCATATTTACTTATTTTGCCATTTTTTATATATCATGTATATATTTCATTTTATATTATTCTGCGGTTGGAGCTCTTGGTCCATGCACTGCCCTCTTTTTCAGCATCGTCTCTCACGCCTTTGAGCGACCTCTTAAGTCAAGGATGTCAAACTCGCGGCCCACAACAAACATTTTTGCGGCACGGCCAATATATCGGCAAATAATAATATATAATAATAAAATAACATATCGACGAAGAAAAAAATGAAATGTTTACTGCTAAGTTATTAACGATAATTTATTCAGTGTTGTTAGATTACTCACAGCGAGCTGACACGCACACTACTTAAATTACAAATACGTGTGAGTAGCTTGTGTTCAGCTACCTTCGGCTTTTGGGGAACACGTGCACTCAGAACTTGTACGCATCCCCCGATAGCCGAATGTCGCCGAACGCATGGTCTCAGTTTTCCAATCATAGTTTTGTACGATATATTGGTGCATGTATATGCATGCACTTTGCTTTATTATTAATTATTACTTAATTCATATTGTTATGGATTTCATAGTTATTTATTTAGTTAGTTTTTTTTATTTAGAATTGTAATTAGATTTGCTTCATGTTGCCTTAGCAACGCAGACGATTTTTGAAAAGACAGCTGCGTTGGGAAGGTTAAAAATAGAACAGCGCGTGCATTTAATAATACCTAATAAATAAATATCTCGTAATTGCTGTTGCCATCCACAAAAATCCAAATATTTATAGATGTTTCCAGTATATTCGAGATTAATTATAAAGCTTATAAAAGCCGAGAAACAAACAACTCATCTCAGTAGTAGCTGTATGTTCTAGCGAACTGTTTGTTTACTTAATGCTGTGATTGATTTGTAGCGATTTCGCTGTGAGACAGAATTAGTTTCTCTGTTTTTAATTGATTTTTGCTAAACGTTTGACATTTTGTGATATTGTTAGAATATTTTTGAAGAAATATTTCAGCATTTTGATTTATCTCTTGTGGAAAGTATAAATTTTTGTTAACTTTTTAACGTTAATCGTGTTTATTCCAGCCCTTTGTATTCAGTATGTCTATATCAAAACCAAGTGGTAGTAAAATTAAACGAAAAATCGCTGACGAACATAGAATATTCCAAGTAAAATGGGAATTAGAATATTTTTGCTGTGAAATAAAAGATAAAATAATCTGCTTGATATGTAATAATACTATTAATGTACCAAAGTTATATAATATTAAACATCATTACGAACAACACAAATCGAAATATAACAATTACGAAGGATTAATGAGAGAAGAAAAGTTGAAAGAGCTCAAGTTAGGAGTGAAAAAGCAACAGTCCATGTTTAGTAAAGTTTGCAAGAAAGTGAAGCGGCGGTACATGCTAGCTACGTCTTGTCCGAGTTTATAGAACATTCGAAGCCTTTTACTGACGGTGATTTCATCAAGGAATGCCTAATGAAAGCTGGAGAAATTGTTTGTCCTGGAAATGTGAAGGCTTTTCAATCAATTTCATTGTCTCGAAATACAGTTGCGGAAAGAGTTACTGATTTAGCCGCGAATTTAAGTGATCAGATCAAAGCAAAATCATCTAGTTTCGAAAGTTTCTCTATTGCCTGTGATGAGAGCACGGACATTATTGGCAAAGCTCAATTAGCAGCGTTTCTTCATTCTTGTGACAAGAATTTTAACATTTTTGAGGAATTACTGGAACTAATACCAATGCCTGGTACTACTACAGGAGAAGATATATTTACTTGTGTTTTTGGACTTTTGCAGAAATACAATCTACTTTTGGCAAAATTAAATTCTGTAGCTACAGATGGCGCTCCATCAATGATGGGAAAAACAAGGGCTTTGTAGCATTATTAAGGAAAAAACTTAGTGAAATTCACGGTTCAAACATTCATCATATGCACTGTATTATACATCAAAAAGTTCTATGCACGAAAGTAATAAATATGGAGAATGTTTTGTCATATATAAAAAAAGTTATAAATTTTATAAGATCTCGAGGTTTAAATCAGCATCAATTCACTGCTTTCTTAAGTGAGTTAGATAGTGAATATTATGGTTTGTCCTACTATACTGAGGTACGTTGGTTATCTTGCTCCAAGATTCTCAAACAATTCTGGGATTTGAAAGAAGAAATATGTCAGTTTTTAAAAACGAAAAATCAAGACGTAAGTTTGTTTTACGATCCAATATGGATACAAGATTGATCTTTCTTGGTGATATAACCAAACACTTAACCTATTTAAATTTATCGTTACAAGGAAAAGATCATATCATTACGAACATGTTTGACATAATTAAAGCATTCAAATGTAAACTAGTTCTTTGGGAAAAACAACTTAAAAATGAAGATTTGACACACTTCCCGACGTGCAGCATGAACAAATCAAGTTTAGATGATACTTGTTCATATCAAAAATACGCAGAAAAAATTGCAAATTTAACAACTGAATTTGAAACGAGGTTTAATGATTTTAGTTCCCTCGAAGACAAATTTTTTTTTTTTGTTTTCTTCAATTTTCTCAATAAGTATTGACTCAGTACCCAGCCATATGCAAATGGAGGTGATCGAGATTCAATGTAACTCAAATTTGAAAGCAAAATTCATTGAAGTGGGCATGCCTGAATTTTACAAATATTTACCAGCCAGGTTTGAAAATACTCGAAAATTTGCATATGAAATTATTTCCATGTTTGGTAGCACTTATCGGTGTGAGCAGTTATTTTCAGTCATGAAAGGTAATAAGTCTCCTATTAGAAACCGTATTAATGATGCTCACCTTGGGTCAACGTTGAAAGTTATCACTGCAAACAAAATTTCTCCCGAAACAGGAAAGATAATAGCAGAGAAGAGATGTCAAGTATCAGGACGTAAACATTAAATTTTTCTTGTTCTTTTCTATATAAATATATATATTATATATGTTTATTATTGTATTATTCGAAATAAATCTACGTTTCTATGAATATTGGTTTTTTTTTTTTTTTTTTTTTTTTTTTTTTCTTTCCAGCCTGCCTAAAGTTAAACCTTGTTTGTTTGGCCCAAGTGTACCTATGAGTTTGACATCCCTGTCTTAAGTGATATGCTTCTCAACCAAGGAAATACGACAACTTAGGTTGATGGAGTTTTATGTGTGACCTCAATCGTTACAGTTGGCATCTTTGTGGTTTCTTTTTTGGTTGTATCTTAGCACATGACCTCAACTGTGGCAGAACAAAGGTTTTGGCATTTTTTGGCACTTCTTTCTTGGCTTTATGCTTTGACCTCCACAAGAGCTTATCTGAGCTTTTAACATATACTGGCGATGGTTCAAGTGTATAAGAATATAACCAAACATGCAGTCTTTCATCAACGTATTTGGTATGTGTCAACATTCACTAGAGTATACAGACTTTCTTTAATATTGGTCTTTCACAATAACATATATCTAAAAATTCACAAAGAAACATGCACAATCCAAGCTATGCACAAAATTCAATCTAATTTCCCAAAAGCATAACTTATATCCAATAACTGTATAAATACCTTTAAAGCAGTCTGCATTACAACAGCTGTTGCATAACTCAGACCTTTGGATCCAAGTTGAAGAACAGTGTTGTAGCCTTGATCTCGAGCTTTAGATATATACTCATCTATTTCCTACAAAATACACAACTTTCTTAAAATATAATTACGTTTATAATTATATATGCATATTTATAATTATACAGTAGCACATGAATTACTTTGCAATGCATAAAAATCGTGAAACACTGGAAGCTGCAAAGAAGTTGACAACTTAAGTAAATTTATAAATTACTTGCAAAACAAAAAATTAAAAACATACTCTAAATCATTTCATTCAGCTGGGTCCACATATCTCTACACAGAAGTGAAAAACATATTTTGCACAAAATATTAATTTCCATTATAAACCCCTTTCATTAATCTGTTAGCCTACTATCAAACACTTTACAAAGCACTTGTTATTATTATACACGCTTTCTGTACTGTCTGGAAGAACTGAACTTGATATCGGCTGGGAGAAAAAAAAATTTCAAGATACTTTTCACTTCCCATTTAACTTTTCCCCTTCAAGGTATTGCTAAATTTAATACTTCTCCAAAGAATTAGAATCTTTGCTGGTATCTTTCTACTTGTAATATGTTATCAAATTTCTGAAAAATCATTAATTTATAGTGGTTTATAAAGATGATGATTTAGATAATGAACAAAGAAGATTTGATAATGAACAAAGAAAATTAGATAATCAACAAAGAAGATTAAATAATCAACAAAGTTCTGCCATTTTAATTCAAGTAAAAAGCATACCTTCTCATGCTTTGTCAGCTGTGGATGTACAAATCTCCGATATAACAGACTGGATCCTCTAGTAGCTGGTGACAGTAACCATAGTACAAATAAGATTTTCATCTCATAATAAAATGGAAGCCTGAAAAAAGCATGTAAACTTTTTAATGCAAATATGAAAATTTAAGCATGATATATTTACCTAATAATATTTTGTTATTTGTAATAATCAACTAAATACTTTTATATTTGAATAAAATACAACAATTTGCAATGAGCAAGAAATACTTACTGTCAATGTTATACCAATTAATTTGCATTTATTATTTGCTCCTCTTCAAGAACATTCACACAATGATTTCCTCATGGCACATCAACACAAGAACTAGTGAAAATTATCTTGCAAGTATCACAAACAAGAAAGAAAAATTCATCATTTTGATAGATCAATAAGCTGTAGTATTGAGAAGCACATGCTGTTAAAACAGAAAATTTCCAGATTCCAAATATCCACCTTTTCTTCACGCTACTTTACATAAAAACTTTTACAAAAGAATGCAGAATAAAATGGTATGATAAAAATTAATGGAAGACAACTTGCACGTGAGAAATTTTATATAAAATCTGACAATGAACCAGTCATATAAACTGTAAAAAACACTAAATAATTCTATTATAGGAAAACAAACCTATAGAAGTACACTGAAACTTTAAAATAATCTTCCTGCTAAGTAACAATTTGCATACGAATATAAAAACCTATCTACCAAGCAACTGAACAAAAAATTCCAAATTTATCATAATTATTCACAGAAATTTCTACTTGCACAAGACTACTTTCTCAATATACCACAAGAAAATTTTCCTGAAATTTTTTAGCAGATACATTTTACAAGATAAAAATTATGAGTGTATTCTGAACATTCTTCTGAAATATTCAAATAGCATAGATAATCATGTCATAACAATGCAATCAATAATTAATTCTGATTAATCAATCCCCGATACTCACTCACTTCTTATTCTCCTTTGCACTACATTCAATAATATATTTTAGCATATGCATAATTTCATTCAAAATAACTTCAAATACATTATTTCACACAGTACCATCTAATTACCATAATTTATAAATATTCATTGTTGTGACTTATTTCATTTGTCTGACAGTAAAATCAGAATAAGCCCATGAAATTTATTATGACAAGGAGCGCCAGATTCTGTCTGTCGTTGGCAAGAGCCTTGAGCACCATACAGCTGACAGTATGACTTTGCTCAGTTCCACCCCCAATTTTGATGGAGAGCACCCAACAGAACAGGTCTGAGGGTCCCCTCTTCTTCTACCACCAACCTCTTGAGAGATCATTTACAAATATTTACTTACAGTTAATATTTAATTACCACACTTCACCTTTTTGTTTTAAAATAAAAGCTTCTGAGACACTGTGTGTTCTGCCTTGACTTTAAAACTATCTCTACTTAACAGTTGTCAATTTTAATGCTACATATATCATGTTCTTAAACTAACATCTAACAAATGCATAAACATTTTTGTTTCTTAATATTCAATCCAATAAATAATAAGCTTTAAAAATATCAAATTATATAATCCATAACACCTATACAATTGGATTATTTCAAGAGCCAAAGCAACTATGTTATAGCTTCCAAATATGTGACGGCACAGAAAATGCAGTTCATACATTTCAAAACTTCTTGAACACTGTACTGAATGCTGATGGCATAAGCAGGCAGGTACTGGTTACCTCAAAGCAACACAGATAAAAATAAATTTGCTCTACACTGTGATTTGAGATAGATGGGAGTCAGGGCCAAATTAAGACCTTCAAAAGCCCTGGCTCTGGATTAGCTGGATGCACTCCATGGCAAAACTGGCAATGTGAAATGTTTTGGTGCCCCTTTTCTTAAATACCTAAGGACCTGTTAGTGGTATCCCTTTTACCTTGATGCCCTAAGCACATGCTTATATTGTTTAATGGTTAATCCAGCTCTAATTGCCAGAAGTTGAGCAATGTTCATATGTGAAAATGTAGCTCTTCATGGTGGAAATGTATGCAAGTGTTATGTGAAGCTGAAATAAGCATTAGATGAAAGCATTAGAAAATCCTATGCTATGAAGTTTCAGAGGCCATTATCAATCATTATTTAACAAAAGAAGAAAGAAGACTGTGAAGAAATTATTCCACATATATGGCTATTTCCAAGTCTATACAACAATTTCAAATTTTATGATGACCTCCTAATGTAGAAGACTTGTGCAAACTGGATGCTACATCAATAGAGCTTGCAAAACGAGATTAAAAAAAAAAAAAAATCATATTCACTTGCGGCAATTTCATCATGTAGTAAACAACAAGCTAGATTGAATTACTGCAATTGATGAAACATGGGCATTAGCATTTAAACTAAACTAAGGCATCAGTCAAATGGCATCACCTTATTTGATCATGAAATAACGAGGTTCGACTGAATCCATCATCTACTAGTCATAATCATTTTGACATATAGCAACATGGGTGTTCTTTGGTGTCATCCTATTCATGAGGGTAGGTTTGTGAATGTCATTTCTGCAGCACTATTTGGGTAATGCAATTCAGATAAAATAGCCAGCATTTCTGCACAATCCACCCCTACCCCAATATTCATCCATAATAATGCCATAGCACATACGATTGTTTCTGTAAATGAACTAAACAGCAGCTAGAGCAGGAGATTATACTGCTTTCATTTACCAGACTGAAGTCCATGCAACTCTGGTCTGATCCTGAAACTGAAGACACCACTGTATGAGAGGCACTTTGAAGACAAGGACGGCATACTGGGAACAGATGGCAAACATTAATTATACACAACCAATGGTTTCCAGTACCTTCTCCATCACTGGCAAAGATATGCAGAAAAGCTCAAAAATACACTGCCCTCCAAATGTTAAGTGGCAGCGTGTTTTTTAAAGCTCACCATTACAAAAATGTCAATAACATTTAAATTCACAGTTCATATGCATGACAGTAACGAAGTTTAAGAAAATATATGCAGAAACAATAGCTACCACTTTTATTTTATAAAAATGAATACTTATATAGCAGTTGGAGAAAAAATGCAAAATTTGTAATTTTTGTTCATGAGTGTTGATCTTCAGTTGTCATTACAGTTTCATGGACAATATCCATGGAAGTCTATCAATGTCCAGAAGTTGTTTTCCCAATTCATTGAGGTGACGGGAGATTGGATGGATGGAAATGGAGATGTCACAAGCTAATGCTGCTAGACATCTCAATGTCTCTTGTAGTGTGGTCTACCAACAATGGAATCAGTTTGAATCCAAGGATTATGTGTCTAGACGACATATTCCAGGTAGACCTAGAGTTACAACACCTGCAGGACACCGTTATTTAGCTCTTTCAGCCAACATTACTGTGCCTCAGCTCATGGCAAATCATTTAGTGGCAACAGGAACATGAATCTCAGCTAATACAGTGTGCAAATGCCTGCACAATACAGGTCTGTATGCAAGATGACCAGTTGTTTGTTGTTGTGTTGTGTGTTGTTTGTGTTAGTGAACATGTCCTGTAAGTTTCTTGTTTCTATGTTGCTTCATTCTCAAATTAGACACAGAAAATATGCTGTTCCTTAACTTTTGGAGGGCAGTCTACTTCAAGTGATGTTAGCTGTATATGTATACTTTCCGGTATTTACCTTATAATTGTTTTACAATAAGACCATGCTTTCCCTTTCTGTCTTTTTCAATACCCTATCCTTTCACTCTTACACTATGCCCCATTTCTTGGTAGCATTAATAATGGCATTCCCTTTAAATGCATAAAATGATTTTAATTTTGCTTATCTTTACATGCAAACTCTAACACGGTTTCTACAGCTTTGAAATGAACCTCTTACATTTGGGCTAGAACTGGTTTTACAGAAAACTCTGACTTTGAGGAATGGGGTCTCTATTCTTCAAGGATCAAAACTATTCGGCATACCATATAACATTCTGCCCATCATACTCAATGATGTTGAATGTACAAGAAAGAATAAATATTAATAATGCTTTGTGAGCTCAATTAATTGCATAACTTCCAAGCTATTAAATTTTGTAAGGCAGAAAGATTTTAAAAAAAACTTAAAAATTTTGTTTGTTTGCAGAACATTAAAGCTATTTATTTCAACATATATGCAATTTATGAAAAATATCTGATAAGTAAAGCTTCAAAATTAGAAATAGTAATTCAAAATAAAAGGGGGAGAGATTTAAACATACCAAAATGATACTAGAATGTCAGCAAATGTTTCAACACAAGTGAAGAGAGCAAATATTATCCAGTACATCATCCATTTGACCTTAAAATACAAAAGTTTCGGGAAAATAAGAAGCAGAGTTTCAAAGACATCAGATTTAATTTATAAAAATAGCAGAACTGCTGAATATACAATTCTGCACAGAGCTTAAAAAGCTTCTTTAAAAAAATATATTTTGGTTTAATAAAGTGTAAATGCTTCTATTTTAAAAAAGTAAACAAAAATTTAATAAAAATGATATCAATAACCCAGTCCCAGGACAAAAGTCACCCCCCACATACACACACACAACAACAAGGTAGTCAGGAAAAGTATTGATAGGGAAAACGTTAATGCAGGAAATGAAAGAAACACGAGGAATAAATGAAAACCTTCATAATTTATGTTTAGAAATAATTTAATTTTTTTAAGTTTGTGTTACAATGTATTTAATCTTTTTAAAAATAGATTCTATATTTAGAAATTAGCAAGTGAAAAGGGAAAACTTAACCAAAACATAAATATTTGTTAAATGTTATGCTGAACTAAAGGGCAACAATTTTCTTCAACAAGGGAGATCTTCCAACAGCTTGAATTCTCAATTTCCTCTATTACATATATTTTCTATATCATATAGAAATACATAATAGTAAAAAAATAATTAGTAGGTTTTCTTCTGCAAAGAACCTGTTGGCAATAGTGCGTTTCTTGTCACAAGCTCACCACTGGTAATGGTTTTAGTGAAATTTTAAGTTTTGAAATAAAACATGACGTAAAGCATATGTAAATCAAATTTAGCATTTTAAACATGATACTTAATTCATAGCATGATATTAAGCATATGTAAGTTAAATTTAGCTAAAAATTAGCTGATTAAACATACTATGTAAGTCAACAGTGAAATGTAATAGATAACAAATATTATGTAAGTTAACAATACAGAGTGCCAAACATATAATGCAAGTCAAATTTAGTTTGTTAAATATGATAATTGGTGTAATTCAATTCAGGTAGCAGAAAAGCATGATGGGAAGCATATGCAATTAAAAATTACCTAGTTAAACACGCTAATACAATTAAATTCAGGTTGGCAGAAAACATGATATATATGCAAGTAAAAGATTAGTATGAAAAAATTAGGTAAATATTACTATTAGCATTCAAATAAATTCTATTATTACAAAAGAATTTTAAGAAAATTGTACTATTATATCTACAGTAACTCCATTTTTTTAAATAGCCCTTAAAAAAGCCCCCCCTCCATTTTTTTACAAAAACCTATGCCGTTAACCTCTTCGTCGTCCATAACGCATTTAGCGCGTTCAAGTGAAACTTCCGCAGGGCGGCCGTAACGTGCTACAAACGTTCTACATTTTAAAGCTTTTAAATGTTTAAAACGCTTTCTAAATGTTTACTTGTTTGAGTTTTTATTTTTGTTTGTTCTAATACCTCCTAGAGGGCAGCACTAATCAGGCATTCTATTTCTAATTGAATCTGCCCTGGGTTTTATGAATATTTGCACCATTTTACATAAGATACAAGACAGTGAGAGATGGCTTCAAAGTCTACTCAGCAGAAAAAGAGAAAAAATGAGGTTGTGAATTGGAAAGACAAAGAAGGATATACGTTTGAAGAGTACAGTCCATAATAACTCGATGATTGATGTTGGAACACGGAAAAGAACAGTAAAAAAAAATAATAATTGTAAAAGATTACAACAACAAAATGGGAGGAGTGGACCGCCTGGATCAAATGTTATCAAATTATCCAGTTGTTAGAAATAAGCAGAGATATTATTTTTCCATTATGCTTTATTTCCATATAATTTTACTTAATATTCATTGACGTTCATCCACTATGAAAGTTATATATGGAAAGTTATGATGTACAGATAAAACAACATTACACGCTACGATAAACAGACGGCACGCTGGGGAGGAATTTTTGCGGACAGGAGAGGATGACGAAAGGATTAAGTAAATTGCCAGAGATGCATTACCCTAAAAGACCTTAAAGAGGCCTCTTTAACTGCATTAAGGCTTTAAATGCAGCCTCTTTTAACAGCATTTAAAATTCATGTGAATGGATCTTACGGTTACATTTAACTTCATGCCAAAACAGGTATTCGAGTACACATTCAGCTAAATTTTCTTTGCAACACCACTTTTTTCATAATTTTACTTTCAGCTCCTCAATGTTAATTGCCTTTGGTATATACTTATAAATATATCTGTTTTTATTAAATTTATTTGATTCGTCCTTTCACATTTTGAAATTTAGGTTCATTCCAAATAACATTCACCCATTTTTTTATGATTTATTTTTAAAATATGTATTTTTAAATATTTTTTTATACTTTTTCCGAAAAAAATTTTGAATTATAACCTATAAAATTTTTACCATCATCTTAAGGTAGGTGTATTTCTTAGCATACCTGCAAAAAATTAGAATTTTTTATTCAAAATTTCTGAACACATACATGAATTTATATATTGCCGTGTTTTGAAATTTGGCATATTTATTGAAAGCAATAATAACATCAAATGCGGTTTAGGCACTTAGCTAAAATTATTTGAAAGTAAGAACGACATGACTTTTCCCCAATGTAACTCATCCACAATGTAAAAAGGTAGGAATGATGCAACGTTTTTTTCTGCTCCTGCACAATGGAAGGGAAAGGAAAATAGGTTGCCATATATTAAGAAGTTCGCCAAGTAAATGATTCTTGGTGCAAACTGAAAAAAAAATGTGCCAAGTTAAATTTTTGAATTTATCCATAAATTTGGCACCAAATTTTACAAAATTTAATATTTAGGCATAATTTGAATCGTAAAATCGAAATATGGAAAAAAAAACAGTATGTTATTTCAGAAAAAGTCCAATTTTGTGTCAAAATACCTATGTTAGAGCAATGCTATAGATAAATCTAATATATATCCCAAGTTGTGCTTTCGAGACATGAAAAACGCAATTTGAATTTTGGCAATCGACCCAGTAGAACAGGAAATATAGGAAGTGTCTTTTTTTTTTTTTTTTTTTTTTTTTCTCACGTTGTGTACATAACACACCAATGCCTGCCTAAGAATGAAGCCATTACAGTTTCTTCCCTTTGCCACCTGCTTCTTAATCAGCGGCATCAGGATCTCCACTGATCTATAGTTTGCTGTGAACATGCTTTCAATGAAGGCAATAATCTTTCTGAGATGCGCATGATTGCAGAAAATCATGTCTCCAACTTCCTTAACTGAACGAAAATAATTCCCATTAAAAAATTCAGAAAGATATCGTGGAAATCAGAAAAATTATAATGAATAAGTGAAGAACAAATTACACATACAAAAGCAAATAATGAATGTGATGCTACAACATACAAAAGTTATGAACAGCAACGTAAGGAACCAAAAACAATGTAAGAGGAATGGTTACTAATTCCAAGCTTGTTAATCCGCTGGGTTACTAGGTTTTCACCATTGTTGAAAGTGTTTACATATTTACTGGATTCTTTGCGTAAGTGCTTCCAAATTAGCTGCTAATATTCTATAAATAATCCAGAAAAATTAAAAATATAGAATTTTTTATTCCCAAAGGACAAATGCAACAAAATTTTAAAATTCCACAAAATATCTAAAACAGCACTGCAACACCAAATGTAGTTAGATTTGTATTATTTAAAATTTTCTAGTAACACCAACTTGGCAGTTAACTGTTTTTAATGTAAACAATAAACTTCTAAATAAAAAAAAAAGCATGTCGTTTTCTGTGTACTGAGTTATTTCCAATAACTTCAGTGCTTTATTGAAAATGCTCCCTCAATTTTTCAATAAAACTGCAGTCTACCCTTACTTATTTAGAAAGGAAACTCCTAAAACTGATTTAGGAGGGAAAATACAATTAATTCTTACACATACAGATAAAAAAAAAAAAAAAAAATCTATTAAGTTAAAATTAACTGCTAAATCCCTAAAGATGAAACAAAGTTAAAGATATTTATCACTAAAGGCAAACCTTTCAGATTTCCTGCACTTTTAGAATTAAATTTTTTTTCAATAGCTTTAAGTCAAGGAAATACTTGGATAATATTTTACTTTGCAAAACATTGAAATCTTCCATATAGGTCAACTATTATCAAATGCTATATGCTTTACTCAAGTTACTTTAACCCTTTTGTGCTAACTGTCATGCATATGTGCCAGCAAGAAAAGCACTTATTTCCTGGCCAGCACGCTGGCGTGCCTGAGGGTTTTCTCATCCACCCCTGGCCATCATATATATAATTGTGGCAGTGTCTTGGAATAATTTAAAAACTATAAATTTTGCCACACGATCGCATTGCATGTCCATAGGATTTGAGATACATGTAGATTTAACCTTCTACTCAAAATTAGAGAAAATGACTCACTTGGGAGGAGGAAAGCATAATGTAAACAAACAGGGAATATTCTCTTGACTTGCCACGATAGATACATTCACATTTCTGATGTTCCTTTAAATCCTTTACTCTTTTTTTCTCTACTTTGTAAGGCCTTTTAGTGTTACTTTGTGAAGTTCTGATACATTTTGCCTTGCTTTCGGATATATTTTATGTTCTTCGCTTTTAATTTTGGAAAACCTTGACTCCAGTTTATTATGGCTAGAAAGCAATATTTATCACAGGAAAGATATACTCGCATAGTAAATCAGCCAATTAATGACATGGATGAAAGTGATGACTCATTTTCTAAAGTAATATGCATTTGTTAGAGATTGAGCTCTCTCTGAGCTCCTGCCTTCTACTTCCTGTGAAAGACTGCATTACTTCTTGTACATAGACAATATTGTACTTTTTAAAATTAATTTTGAAGTTTATTAATGTGCTTTGTCAATTAAAACTTTGAATTAATTTAAAAGCTCATTCGAAAATTATTTTTAACATCAGCAAATTTTTTAATATATTTTCATGTTAATCCTCTAAGCGGCAAGGCCGTATCTATACGGCCTAGAATATTTATTGTGATATCTGTAAGAACGCATATATATGTGCATATTAAAATATGTCGACGAAATTAAGGCAATATATCAAAAGA